AGAACTAAACAAAGATGGCGAATGCTTGGAACCAGTTTCAACCATGGCAGAACCAGGCTTTGCCGCCAGGTTGGGAAGCAAGATATGACGCAAACGTCGGAAGATAGTAAGTACTAGTACGAATATGGCAGTAATTTGTTTCGTAAAGCAGTGAACCTTTGATCGATGACTGAACCGAAAGTTTGCTGCCGTATTTGTAGCCAGATGGCTACAAACACGCGAGATAAATTTTTAGGAAAGGTAAAATTCCGGTGACCGTTAGATCAGAGTAGTTATAGATATAGGCAGGCTACTATGATTATGTCGTTGCTGTTTCACAGGCAATATTTAACAAATGAAGAAGCCTCGACTGTGCTCTGTTCTGTTGTAAAGCACACAGGAAGCGGTAGAGCACGAAAGAAGTGTAGGGTGAAACACACGACGTCTTGTTTCTACAGATGTATTAACCAAAATGAACTCCATTTTAATTAGTTTTACACTTATAGCACTTTTTAGCATTCCTTTATTGTTTTTGATTGGCTTCGAGTCATTTTTAAGGTGGTTTTGTGATGTTGTTCGAAAAAATGCCAGATCCAAGGGGGCAGCTCTTTTGATGTCATGATGTACATACATGTACCTCCCATGAGACACGGTGTCTTCGTCTCATGTTGCTTACCTCAAACGATATTTTTTAAATTCTGCTACATGTATATCCCCTCCAAATTTCACTTTCATTTAGACTTGCTACAAGTCGACCTCATGATAGCTAAGTGAGCGAAGTGACCTGTGAGGTTTTAGGTGTTGAAAGGTCGTGAAGTGGTCAAGGGAGCGATGAAGTCACGAGAGGTTGACTTGTCTTGCTTGAAGGGATTTTTTTGCCTTTCACGCCAAAAATGAGGAATGGTGTGACTTGCAACTGTTGTCTCAGGTGATATTTGCGAGCTTGACTTGACTGGTGGACTTCCAAACACCAGTTTAACTTTAATATCTAAAATGCCCGACAACTGTTGTTCTGAACAATCATCTCCAATGTACTGGGTATGTAAGACCCTTAAACGGCACAGGAATTTAGGTTTGAGACCTGATCTTTCGTGAGCAAAATTATTGGAACCACTACCAAGAGGAGAGCATTGCTATTCTCTTCATTTAAACAATTGAAAGCATTCAGAGTTAGCTCAAAAGTCATTAGCTTTTCACTGCTCCAGTTGGGGCAGAAACAAACACATCTTTTCTGGGCAGATATGCTTCCACTGACTTGTGTCGGTAGTCATGCAATATAGAATATCCCATGGCCATTTGCAGCTTCTTTAATCACTTTTTGCAATCAATCTTATATTGAATTTAACCGTAAGTCACATTTCATTTTGCCAAATAACTTAGAACTGTTTGACAGTTCAGTTCCCAAGGGGTATTCATGGCAACTCTGATTGGTCATAGTGCAAAGACCTGATTTTGGGTCACTGAAATTGGTGTCAATCAAGTATGAAAAGTCTTTTGTCCGGCAGGTGATGAATAAACAAGACGAAGGACTTTTCTGAAAGTCTAACTATTATTGTGTATTGTTAAACATTCTTAAATTTATACAGAGGGGTACAGACTCCACACATTCCCCTCCCTGGTCCTAGAAGATCAAAAAGGTGCAGTCTGAAAATATAAGGAGGGTTAAAGCAAAGACAAGAATCACATACATGAACTTGGCTTTGACCTTTTGGTGTTTTCTCAGCTATTTCATAGATCATACAACTCACAAGACAACATGGCAGGACCCAAGGGTGAAGAAACCAGAAGCCATTCCTTTGAGTCAATTTAAGGTAAATCACTACATATATTGAGCGGTCAGTTGCATCCAACGATATGTGCAGTGTGATATGTGGAAGAAACACAACTTGAACATGGGACAATTGCATTCGTTAGTGTTTACCAATACCTTTGCGCATTACATAATGAACACGGGCAATTGCATTCGTTAGTGTTTACCATTACCTTAAGGCATTACGTAATCCTTTTGTTTTACTTGCCATCGTACATTTTTCATATATTAGTTTTCATTCATAAAAATAAGTGAAAAAAAATTCTAATCCTCGGTGTGTGCGGTACGGATTGGAACTTCTTGGGCATTTTCGAATATTGAGGACACTTGGACTGTCAGGGCATCATTTAAAAGTTTGGTTTATAAAATCGTGTGGAATAGAATAAATGTTTAATCTGGTAAACACAACTTGCACATCTACATGCGTTAACTGCAGCATCACAATTTCTTTCTGGTTACACAAACATGTAATAATCATACTTTAGACCGATCTGCGTACTAGACAACATGAAAATTATATGCACATGACCTTAAACACAAAAGCCTTTAATACTGCACTGCAGTATAACAAGCAAAGATGGCTGCCTGAGGAAAAAACCCTTCTTTTTCCTTGTTCAAGGAGAAGGGAGCCTTGTTTCCCATAAGAGTTAGTGTTACATATGTATCTCAAGCAGTATCCTGATTATGCACACCTCCTCC